GTCCTGAAACTTGTGGTTACCATGAAAGTTTCTTTGCTTCTGGAAGATATGACCCCCACATGGAGCAATTAGTCAATGACTGACAGAAAAATTGTCTTCAAGCTCCACATCAACATATATCCCAACACACACAAACGTATATTCTAGTTTTATTTTAAGATATAACTCAGTGCACTGGAACAGGACATCTGTATTAGGATTTTGCACAAAGCTTTGCTACCAATTGCATATGAGAATTTCATATGAGTTGGCTATTGGTTTTTTACAAATAAACTTTGAAACTGACTAGTGATATGAAAATAGGATAATTTTAAAAGTAAAAAGAACCTGAATAGATAAATAAGTATGATTCAAAATAATAATGACATTAAAAAAAAGTCTGCTTGGCACAAAAAGTTGGGTATGCCACAGGATACAAAATATTAGCAAGGTACTAGAAGAAATCTCCTCAAGAGTTTTCCACATAAAAATAATAACTAAAAAAATGCCTAGAGAAGAATATAAATATATATGGGAATGCTACAGAACAAAACCCAACAATGAGTGCATCTCTACTGATATTTATTCTCACCATCAGAAAATACTATGTCCATTTATAGCAGAATAGATTATCAGAGAAAGGACCAATGAGACCTAGGAGTTTCCAGGGCAAAAAATCTCTGCACTGAACTATCTTTCTCATCCCATTCTCCCCTTATGGTCTTAAAAATAATAGGATAACAGTAATCATAATTCAATTTTCTTAAAAAGCTTACACTAAAAATAATGTCTATGCCACTAGCCTCAAAGAAGTTGCTATCAAAAAGCAAGCTCAGGTATGGCACAGGAGATTCTTGGAGCATCTGAGAATGTGTGTGTGTATTATGTGTACATGTATATTTGTCTGTACATATGATACTGTGCTCTGGCATCTGATGGTACAGATTTTCAACCTGTTTTCACAAGACCTCTGTGAGTCAGATATTTTCCAATACAGTTTATGCAGGAACAAACTAAAATGCAGCAAGACAGGGAAGTCACCTTCAAGGAGATAACAGGGTGCAGAGCTCTGAGTCCTGTGATTCCCATCCCCCTTCTATTAAAAGCAACAAGACAGACAAGAAAATTCCTCTAGAGAGAATTTTGTAGTGCTATGGTTTTTAACCTCTCCAGTCCTCTGGATAAACTGCAGTTTGGGGTTAGGTTTTATAGAAGCCCACAGCACTCATGGAAACAGCCTAATGATGTTTGTTGTCAATAGATAGCCTGAGTCTGGGGATAATTCATTATTTTAGTTGTAGCTCCTCTGCTTGAAGAGGGCTAGTGGAAAAGATATTACCAACTTCACAGCAAATGTCTCTGTTCATTGGAAGTGCATTTCAAAAATTAGGCTTGTGATTATTCCCCTCTGTCTCAGATAGAGGGAGCTTTCCCTGGAGGGGATGCTAGATTGAAACTAGTTTGGAATCTCCCTCTGGGGAAGAGTGTGGTCTCCTTTCTGACCACAAGTTACCTTCTTCCTATGTACCTATCCTGCTGCCCCACGCCACTCAATTGCTCTAGCTGCCCCTTTTATTTACTGCTTGTCAGCTTTCCTGATTCCAGGTATCATTTCCTTGATACATATTCATCATGCCCCATGATTTCTGTTCTCCATCTTACCAGCACAATAAAAAGGCTTTTGTTTTGCGCTGCAGACACTAGGGTAGCTTTCAAGTTCACTAGTTGCTTTACAAGAGATCATTTGTCTGCAGAGCTGGCCCTAAGGGTGGGCAAATTAAGTACCTGCCTGAGGAGCCAAATTTTGGACAAAGGGGTGGCTCACACAACCTGCTGCACGCTGAGCACTTGCTGCCAGTGTTTCTGTCTGTATAAATTAATCATCATCGGGCATTGTGATTTCAGGAGGAGTCGAGACACACAGGTTTTGAGCCTTGGTTAAAACATTTTGAGCTTATTTCCCCCCAGGATGTAGGAAGCCCGATTTGGCCCGTAAGCACAGCAAGTATGGCCACATGCCATCACAGGAAGCACACGCTGACATGCACTTAGTTGCAGGCAGCCCAGGCGAAGGTTACAGCAAGACACCTATGGGACAAGTATGAAAGGGAGAGGAATTAAGCATCTAACCCACAGGCTAGACCCCATTTATCTGATATGGAGGCACAAATAAAGGTGGGATTACGTGCACTGGTGCTGAGAAACTGCAGCGGGACGCCCGAGTCGGATTCTCTGTCCTCTCTGAGAATAGTGGCGGCTCAATCTGACTTGTTTCTGACCTGAACTACATCTGCTAACCCACCACATTCCCAACTCCACGTGCTGACCTGAGGAGGTTTGATGAGAAGGACTGATTTCAAAAATAGATGGCCTGTGTGGCTGATTTATTTCTGCTAAAGCAGACTACCAGATCCTCTGAAGCTGTCTCAATTACCTCTATGTAAAGGCTGTTATTCTTCTCCTACAAGTAGTAGTCATGTTTGAGTGGCCCGATTTGTGCAGATTTGGCCTGCCTTGTCCACTTAAAAGACCATTAATCACCACTCCAGTTTATAAATCAAGGAGGCCAAGTTGCTGAGAGCAATTGAGAGGGTGAGGCTCCGCAGAAGTACTTAGCCAATTCCCAGACCCAGGCTTAGCATTTCTTTCTCCCTGCCTCTAGTCGTCAGACAATTCATCATCCTTCTCCCATTGAGGCAGAATGAGCCTGACAGAAAAATGCCTGAAAGCTAATCAATATGATCAACTTGAGGGGGAGAGAACATAAATTTTTTTTTTTTTTGGTTTCTAAGTCTTTTAAATAAACACAACCTATTCACTTTAAGATTTGGTAGTTTGAATTTACGAAAGACAAAACCAAAAGACAAAGAAGTGCAAACCAACACTAAGATACAAGAACAGGGTAAAAAAACACTGCAGACACCTTTTTGCAGTAGCTATCCATGAAGCAGAATAAAAGTGTCAGGTAAGGAATAGGACTATTATGATTGTGGATTATCAGTTTTGGCTACTATAGTCACACAAGATAGCTTTTCTTTTACAGCAGTGTCAAGTGCAATTGGCAGGCCAGAAGTCACAAGGAGGCCTGCTCCTACTAAATAAACATCAGCTTGCACTGTGCTTGCATGTGGACTAATGAGGTTATGATAGAAAATGGATCTGCTCTGTAATAAGGCAGAGTAAGGCAACTTGAACAGGAGGTTTATATTCCTATTCTGTGATAAGTTGCTTTTACATATTTTGAGCACAGCCTTTTTTTGGAGAGAGAGAAAACATAAATCGTTCATTGTACAGAAGAAAGCATGAGTGACAACTGTAAGTGGAATAGACAGTTTCCATTACCCCCTCACAGTTACTGAAGAATAATTTGCAAAGGCTGGGTAAATTGTGTTTTAAGAAGTGTAATGACGTGTAATAATTTCCTGTCAGCATGTCAGTTACAAGCAAAGCGAGTTTGATAATTTTGGGATAGGAGATGAAAAGAATTGAGCATGAAGAGGAGGGAATACAGAGAGAAGAAATGGGAAGGTCTTTTAGCATCGCTGACTTCAGAAACTAATGAAAACATAATTGTAAAAAACAAACAAACAAACAAAAAAACCAGGTGGAGTGCTAGATAAAAGCAAGAGCTGTGCAGCAACCTGCCCAGATACTAATTTCCATTTGCTTTCCCATTAATCTTGCATAAAGATTCCAGGTCACAGGTCCAGCTACAGGGAGTATTAAGCAATTTAGTAGGATGGGAAATGGCTCAGAAATCAGAAAACAGATGATCAGGAAAATTTCCTTTTCTTGTCCTGCAAAAGGCATCTGTATCATAATGCATAAAAACATTTCTTCTCTCAGTCTCTCTGAGAAAGGGAAAAAGCCCCAAACAAAACTGGAAAAAGAAAAAAAAAGGAAAAAGAAAGAGTTGGGATGTATTTGACTGCCTACTCTTGTCTTTGAAAATGCACAGTGCGGTAGAGATCAGTAAATGCCATGGCTTATAGATCAACCTAAGATGAATGAGCCAGTTATTTTCACACTGCTTCACTCCTTCTTCTCATTTTTATCTTAAAGACAGTATTGTCTGAGATTTATTATTTATTAATTTTGTTGTTTTATCATGCTGGCAATTCTGTCAGGAGCATAATATTTACTTTAATCCAGCCATGGTTGAATCAAATTTCCAGTCTCCATTATACACATATGCACCTATAGGTAGTCTGCTGACCTCATGATGCTTATTACTGATTTACATTGCCACAAAAGTAAAGCAAATTTGACCCTTGGCATGTAAATCTTACCTTATCCAGCCCTCCTTCTTGACAGAAGATGATTTCCCCTCTTCAGTACATACAGTTTTCCAGACCAATTTCCTAATCTTAAGCAGGATTGTTTCTACTGTTTCTTCATTTTTTGTGGTGGAAGAGGTGTAAGAGAGACCATTTTTCTTAGAGAAGCTACTTTAGTATTGAATATAACAAATGGCACCATTTTCCTAGCAGTCTACTTCTCTTTTTACTCTTGTTTTAACAGTGGTCTTGCACAACTTCCACTACTTACTGAAATTTAAGCTTTTATAGCATAGAGTACTTTTGGCCTTAAATATGCCTTAGAAAGAATTCTTCTACGCATCAAATGTTGAATTCACAGATTAAAACAGAAAGGTTATCCAGCTGGTTATCCAGCAAGGTAAGCAAGTCTTTTTTTTAGGTATGCCACTCTGTAAAACAGGTATTAAAATGCTCTGGGTTCGGTGGTTTTGGTTTGGGTTGTTTAGGTTTTTTTCTCCATAAAACATGCACAGCTTTTACCTGCAAATAGGTTTGAATGGAAATTTCACATCAATTTCTTTATTTTATTTTCTAATGTTTAAGAAGATCCAAGGGTAGTCATATCCTGGGACTGAGTACAGAACCACTTAGCATATTGCTGCATGCTGACTTAGAGAAAGAACCTGACGTATTTTAATTCTGTGAGAGTGTATTTGTCACCACTAATTTTGAAACTGATTCATTGGAATACTTATGCTATGAATGCAAACACATGCCAGACAGCTGGAAGAGTGTGATAAGTCTTATTTGTCTTCAAGGTGTGCCACTGAAGTAGTCTCCTCAGACTGTGCCTTTCCTTCCCCTTCCCCGTATTCAACAATAATCATCTGGGAAAAAAATAACAAACCAGAGAAAGCTTTTTTTAAATAAAGGTTGAAAACAACATAGACACAAAATAATTAGCACTGTCCTAATGTTACACATCATAACAAATGAAAACATATTTCAAATGTGACAGCACAAGTAATAGCTCTCAAGTCTTAGTTTCAATGAGGAACAGCTTTTACATGAGGGTTTTTCTGTGAGGTTCTTCAAGAATCATCATTTCAGGTCAGATTCTACAGAATTCTAGCAATTACCCTTTGGTTATTTAACCCAAATCTCCTTTAAAATGTTACAATGCAAAGTTATATGTCCTGTTGTTAGGCATAAGACATGGAAGTCAAACCTCCAGAATGAGACATCATATTGCACTCAGGAACAATTCTGAGAAGCATGGTGATGTCTGGATTAAGAAGAAACCAAACATGAACCACCACCTAAATGTGACAGTACACTGCATATAAATTGGTGGAGAGGGTGGGATGGAGCAGTTTTGTGTACGCACAGAGGACACCTAAAGGAGCCAGGAGTCTATTTTACTTCTGTAAAAAGCTTTAACAGTGTGGTGCTGAATCACTGCAGATTGGTTTCATGTACTTCCCTTTGAAAGGATGTGGAAGAAAACTGTGAGGTTACAGAAACTAGGAATAGAAATGATCCATATGCTGTATAAACTGCCATGTGGTAAAACATTAAAGGAAATCAAGTGATTTGGCTTATCAGAAGAAAGAAAGAAAAAAAGATCAAGATGACTTAATTATAGCATAAGTAGTGTGCAGTGAAGTGGTTTCTCATCTAGTAAAGAAAGCATAAATAGAAGCAACAGCCATAAGCTGAAGAAGACAGATAAATTCATATTAGCACTAAGGTATGCTTTTACAGTGACACTAACTACCAAAGGAAGTGGTAGATTCTCCACTACTTAATATATCCAAAGAATGGTCTGGAAGTCTGCCTGGAAGATATGCTTTCGTCAAACATAAATCATTAAGCTCAGGAAATAAATCTATATGACCTAATGGCTCTTTCTAGCCCTTAGATCCCAAGTATTTATAAAATATGGTATAGATTAATATTTAACTAATAGCTTTGAGACTCTCTTTGGTTTCTGCTAAATTATTGTCTGTTTTTACATACTTAGTGGGTATCATGGCCTGTCTCTGTTTTCTCAAAGAGCCTGGGGTCAATTCAGAAGTATTTCTCTTTACTGCAGAGAATAATTCTAAAAGCAGCTAAAGCCATACGACTCACATATGCTCATACTGGACTGAGGAGCAGTCCAGCAAAAAAGTACATGCTTCTTATTAGGTTGTCTCCCTAAGCTGCATGGAAAAAGAGTTTGAAGAAATGGTATGTGTTTAGAAGCTTATGTTCTTCCACAGTTCACAGAATTTATTTCAAACAAATGCAAGAAAAGCTCCAAACATTATTTATAAGTCCTGATCTTCTTTACCTAGAACTTGGTGAAAACTAATTCTTCAATAGCCTTTTTGTTCTTTTACAGAGAGCTATCAATGGACCTCCCTTTAATCGATACAGAGTTAAACAAACAAACCGATATTTAACTGCCAGAAGTTTTCACTGCTGTAATATGTAATCATGAATTAAAGGGTTTGGAAAACTTCACCTTCATGTCTCCAAAGTGGCCATCATTGCAAATTAGGCTAATAACATACATTATTAGATATTCTTAAAGTAAAACTAAGTATAAATGGGGTTTATAAAAAAATCATTATTTCAATGTAAAAGATATAATGCAATCAAAATACAAATCCAAATCACAGATATATGGAGAAACTAGCAAATTATTATTGTTTTCTGTCATTCCTCAATTTCTCTCCTTTGAATATTGCTATTGTGAATGCTGTGGTTCTCATTACATTGTGACTATAATTAGAATTTGCCATGTGATAGGCACTCTTCAGATACCAAGACAGGTGTTTGGAAGTGCATATTAATGATCATTGTGTTTCATATTGTTTTCATTTCTAAGAATATCTAAACAATGAAACTTTAAAGTGTTTTAACCTAAATATGGTGGAAGTAATCACTGTTTGCAAAAGAGAGATCAAGCATGGACTAGGCTTACAAATCTTTCTTTCCCATAAAGATCACTTCTGCCACACATGGAAATAAGAAGCATGCAGTCTTGACAGATACCCTGATCCTTGCCTTTGTTATGGAGTGAGCTAGGACACATGGTGTGCACTGGTCTGTGAATTGCCCTGGACTGACAGGAAACTGAGCAGATGCTTGTCAGGGCTGTTACAGATTCTTTCACCCCCTCTTGGCAGCTTGAGGCATAACCATATTCCAAGCAAGGGTGTCCTCCACCACAAAGAGGCTTTGAGTGAAGGAGGTTAAACACACTGAAGGAAATGCCTTGTCTCCCAGACATGGGGTAACCAGCAGTGGAGTTGTAGTTTTAGAACTCCAAACCCTTTGCTTTGAGGGTTTATACCTTTCCTCCAGCACCAGCATAATGTATTCTACAGCTACACCAATCTGAAATTTGCCATTTCTCTTTTGATACACCTCAACTTGGACAAAAAGTCTGGGGCACGTAAGTCTGCCAGAAATATGGAGTGGCTGAGGTCTGTTGTGCCTCTCTGAAGATATTTTGCTCCTGTACAGTCCTCAGTATGGTATCTCTTAATGTCATGTGGACCTTTACTCATCTTGAATTTTCTGGTTGTGGAAACACAACTGACAGGATTCAGATGACCCTCACATCGATCTTAAAACTGTTGAAATGGTGGACATCATGACTAGATATTCTACTGATTTTGTGGCACCCATTTTGTTTATATCTTAGAGTTTGAAGAAGGGAATAGATCAACATCTTCTTTCTTCAGAATAGACTGGCCTCCAAAAAGTCAGGATTCCAGTTCATGCCACAGGTTCCAGTTCATACCAAATGCTCTCTATACCCTAAATCACATAGCCATTTCAAACAATCAAGGACCTATAGGTCCAAAACTCATGCATGGTCAAGTGAAAGGTTAATTCAGGTGCTCAAATGAATCACACAGGACAGACCTCTGAGACAGATACACTTGACCTTGGATAGGAGGATTAGTGAAGTCTACTGAGCCATGACCATTCTGCATAAGGGTGATGACTACCCATATCAGAATCACAGAACAGCCAGGATTGGAAGGGACCTCTGGAGATCACCTCATTCTATCCCTCTGCTAAAGCATGTTCATGTAGAGCAGATTGCACAGGATCATGTCCAGGCCTATTTTAAATATTTCCAAAGACAGAGACTCAACAACCTTTCTGGGCAGCTGCACGTTCTTTTGCCATGCCTTTAAGAAGCCTTATAATCTAGGTAAATGTTCAGTTATACAAAGGCCAAAAGTCATAAAATAAAATGCAGATAATTTTGGCCATATTGGTCTAGTGCAGGCTGTGTTTCCATGTGCAGAGTGCATCCCTTTAGAGTGCTTTAACTAAACCCCCCCTTGCAGTAAACTATGGGGAAGTAGTAGAGCTAGAACCAACCTCTGCTCCCCAGAGGTGCCTGTGATACCACAGAGCGTGACAGTGAGACCTTAATGGCATTTAGCTTCACACAGTACCTCCTGCATCCTTGCCCATCTTCCTGAAGGAAATCTGCCCCAACACCAAAGTATGCAACTACAGGCAAAACAGTGGGTTAGACTCACTGCTGGATATGTCCACATCAAAAGAAAGACATCTGAAAATTGTTTTAGCCTCATCTGCTGCACACTATGCTGTTAGCCAGGATTTTCTGAGTGCCAGCATGGTGTGGTAGTGAGACTGCTCTGACCACTGTAGCATAAGGTGCAATTACCTGCTCCTAGGTTCACCCCTCAGATGACCGCAAATTCAGAAACTTCTGGTCTCATTTAATAGTGTACAAGGTCATTTCTGTTTAAGCTGCCCACAGCTGTGTTACTTCTGTTTTAAAGACTCTGTGTAAAGCTTGGAATTTTACTTAGAATTTCAGGGACTATGCAAAAAGTATGATGAAGTCCTGAGCTGCAGGCACTTTGGCCATGTTACAAGTATAGAAATGGTTTCTAAATGCAGTTAAAATTATGAAAGCTTTATTATTCATGATGACACTGATTATCTGCCCCCACACCTCACTGACAAATTCAGCCACTGCTTTCAGATGAGATATCGTACTTTGTCCACAGACAGCCCTAGAGGTAGGAATTAATTATTAAATACTGGTTGATGATAATTACATGATAACTTTATTGACCAAAATCAGAAAGGAATGTGTGATGTGTTCTAAATCGTCTCAATAAAATGAATCCTCTGAGAAAAGAGAATGTCTTAGCTCTTTTATAAACCATCTTTAGAAACCTCTTTGTCAAAAATACTAGCATCATGCTCTAAAAGCATAAAATGGGAGCACACATTTTAATCCAAATGTTTTCCTTGTCAGCAACAAATGAAATCTAGATAATAAAGCAGAACAGTAATTCAAATTCAGTACTGAGGATCACATTCAAACTGCGTGTCCCTGCATAAATTCATATTTAAATTTAGTTTTGTATACTCTTATGACTTTCAATAGTCACCTTTTCAGAAAGGATGTCTGACTTCAGTCTTCAAACTGAGTGGTCTTAAATGAGGTTTCCAAAAATCAGATAACATTTACCAAAAAAAAAGCCAAGCATCTTCCAGTATATTATTATTCCTTACAATTGCAGTCAGTATTAATTTTAATACTACTGATTAGTTTTCTGTAATTTTAGAGGAAAAAGTGTTTCATGAAGTACTACTACTACTACTTCTTTTCTGATTCTTTTGGATGTCATTGCAATAATAGAATTTCCAAGTTCAAGAGGGAATGAAAAGAGAATTTAGGTGAAAAATAACAGGTTTGATAGCTGCATATTGCCTCTCTCAGAGTGTTGTCATTTATATCTGTAGACTACTACTTGCACTTAACAGTATTTTACATATATATAGATCTAAATAAAGAGACAGGATGTATGGCAGGAATAAAAATCCACAAAAGTAGAGGAATGTTTGTGACAGAAGTAGAAGAAATGAGGTTTAGCATGCACATCAGAAATTAGACCTATAAAAGGAAAACAAGGTGTCAGAACCCCAACAAAACAAAGCCCTAGCATTTTAACAAAATTTTAATCTTCTCAACATCCAAGATGATAAATTCTCCTGAAGAATGGGCCTAGAGACTGAAATTAGAATCACAGATAGATCCATGTAGATCTATAGCTTTATAAAAGTAGATGCAAGTGACAATTAGAGGTATGGCTAAACAGTCTAGTCTGGTGCTTTCCCAAACCTTTGGAGTAGGTGTGGTTCAGTCCCTGTTCAACTACAGGAACCCAGTCATCCTCACTGCATAACTCTTACTCCATGCCCAAATTGGAACTGAGCACTAAACAACCAAGAGGAAACTTAATTGGGTTAAGAGGACACTTTGCAATGGGTACATGCCTTACAGAGAGTCTTAGGGCACACAGTGTCAGCTATGAGACCTATTGAATCAACATAAACTGGTATCAGCTGGTGCAAAATCAAGGACTCATGCGCACAGAACAATACAGTACTGTATCCCTCCTACATTCTGAAGGACCAGCTCTGCCAGGAGGGTGACACCTATGCAGACTTGCATAGCACTGCTGCTATGGCCTTCTCAAGCATATGCAGTAGAGGCAGGGATGGCAGAAACTACAAGCAGCTGGTAACAGAAGACAGCACATTGTCTCAAAGAAGGCTGTCAACATGGTTCCCCCATGGTTTCCTAATTTGAAGCCTCTCCCTGTGGTCATATGCTATGTATGAAGCAGGGCACACTAGACAGATTTGTGGCTGAGTAAATGCAAGAGCATCTGAGCCAGGACATGAGGACTACTGATACACCCTGAGGACACCTTTATGTAATGTCTGCCTTGAACACAATGACAAACAGCCTCCCAGTCCAGCTGGCCTAAAAGTTAGAAGTTACTCCTGACATGGACCACATCATTGTATAGATATATCTTTGTCTTAATTTTGGATTGATAGCCCCAAGCACAAATGAAAGAAACCCAGTACCTCCTTCACTACCTGTTCTTTAAGAAGACATGAAAAAAATCACGTGCCTTAACATAAGAGACACTGGAAGAAGGTTGTGGGGGATGCAGAATAAGAACTGTCTATTTTTATTCTGGAAGTGGGCCATCCATCCACTTCTCCAGGAAAGTAATGCTTACTACAAGTGTAATCACTGTAACTGAATCATTGTGTTGTCTGGATTTTTCTTTTCTCTCTTACTGCCTTGTTCAATACTCTGCCCTTGACAGTATATCTTTCCAAAGTCTGTTTCACTGAATAGTCTTTAGACAGTTCTGGTACCTTTTAAATAGCAGATTGAAAGCCAAGTCAGATAACAGATAGAAATCATATATAATGGCAAGAGAACAGAATTAGTGGAAGCTTTGTAACAAAAACGGTATTTAGAAGAGAAATGATTAATCAGTATTGGTTGAAATCTCCTGTAATGATGAATAATTCAATATATAACTGGTAAGAGTGTCACTAGTCTGTATCCCTATACATTTGGTTCATCTGAGAAAATCACTATGTAAATAGAAAGAGCACAGAAGCACTCCAAGGCCTCTGTAACAATGGGAAATTCTTTATTTAAATGATGGAATTAACATCAGCCTGAGGCTTTCCTGTGAATTTCTGATGTAAAGCTGCAATTTGCATATCTGTGTGTATGATATAGATTATCACATATAAATAAAGATCTGCATAGCTCTCTGAATTTTTCCCGTACAGATCTATGAGTAAGTAATAATGTACTGCCTATTCTGGATTTCTCTCAGTGTAAAGGAGCATTAATTCTATAGTATACAAGAGTACTTTAAATTAGTGGTGTGTAATATATGGGTGGGCAATAGTCTCTGCACAGTGGCCCTGGAGTGCAGTTGTGAGGGGGCAGCAACAGCCCAACCCAAACTGAGAGCTTGGCCCCAAAGATCTCTCTTCCTTGATTTCCTCTATCCCTGAAATTGCCTGTTAGTACACTGTGGTGTGAGGAAGAGGTAACTCGGCAAAAGTTCATTTGCATGTATGGCAGCACATGAACCACCCAGAAAAGCCTGTAAATTAACCAACAACCAGCATCCCACCCCTCCCAGTGACTAACAATAAATGCCACTCTCCCATTCACCCTGCCTTATGTGAGGAGAGAAGAGAGCCATCACAGCTTGATAACTAGCTCCACCTCTGACAGGGGTCCTCCAAGGACAGGGGCTAGGTGCCCTTTTGCTCCTTTGGCATCATCTGACACGTAAGGGACAAGTCAGGAAAACAGCCTCAAAGTACAGACTATGTAATCCTTGACCACGCACTAGCAATTTACTTTGATCTTTTGACTGGAGTGGCAACATTACACTAGTGAGAAATTAACACTGAGGTGGAAGATAGAGATCTCCCAACATGTGGGAGACAGTCTTGATCATTAATTCACTCCCATCTAGGATTTGAACTCCTGGCAACAGCTGCATCCCCCCTAGTAATTCTCCCAGCTACTCATGTTCCCCTTTGTTTATGTGGTGCCTCACTCTACTCATCTAATCCTGCACTGATAGGGGAAGTCATTATACAAATGAGAGGATATAGCACAGAAGACAACATAATCTATCATTTCTTCCTATAACTATGAAGTTGTATGATATTCCTTCAGGCAGATCTGGAAAGAGAACCTTGGGGGCAGTAACACATTCACTTTGCCCATCTTTGAAAAGAAACACAAGGAGTGTGAAAATTGCAAAAAATTATGCTGCATCTTGGTGTGACTTTTCATACACTTGACTTGTTTCTCATCCATTGGTCTATGAACTGCCATCAGTTTAAAGGAAAACAACACATGAAACAATTGCCAAGAAGATAAATAATAATAGTTCCTAGATTCACACACACTTGATTTTAAGTGAAAAACAGAAGCAACATGACACAAGGTAGTTGTTTTTTTTTCCCAAATCCAACAGATTAAGCTGCTGCATTAAAAATGGTTGAGAGACATGGAGCTAAAACACAACCAGATCATGCTTGACATGGGCAGCTTGCTCTAAAGCATCTTTTGCTTTTGCAGTAATTGAGAAGTTCATATTTTCTCATCCTGAGTTCCTAATTTAAATTTTGTCTGCTAATCAAAAATGGTAAAGTGCTTCCTGGCTGAAACCAGGAATTTAGACAGCTTTTTTCAGATGCTTTTTTTTAAAAGCATCTTGCTGCTTTTACGTAAATACCAAGGAATCCATTGACTTTTCATATATCAGCTACCCAAAGATGCTATTTCCCCTTCACAATTCTTTCCTGGAACTGAAAAAGATGAGATCTGTTCTGAGAATAGCAAAGTTGAGGTATATGAGGTAAACCACTTTTTTCCAGAAGTTAGAATTCTAAAATAACTGAAGGATTTTCTATTGAAAAATTTTACAACTTTACATGAATTTGGATTTTGTATAAATATTTTGCAGTTACATATTCAGTGTTAGTACTTTGACTAATGAAATAGTTTTTCAGAACAGAATGCAGAAATGCAGTGTTTAAGACCTCAGTTATGAGTCTTGGGAACACAAAAGAACTAATTTTATGTTAGCTAGATAATAAGGTTTCCATTGAGAAGAAACTTCCTTGAGGAAGATAACTAAAGAAAAAACTTTTTTTTCATAAAAACCTATAGCAAAGACCCTTACAGAGGACAGTAAAAGCAGTAAAAGGCACCAGGACCACATTTAAAGGAACTCAGGTATTAAGTGTGTGAACTATTACTGGAGACACATAGACTATGACACATAGACTATAACTTAAAGACATTTGTAAGAATAAAAGATACAAAATATCCTTGCTTTTACAGATGTGGTAGACAACTGCAAACAGGAGTCACTGGCAAATTATTAAAACCTCCAATGAAACCTACTAATAAAACTAGAGAAGGGTTTGATGCAGCTTTTGTAAGAAAGCCATGCCTTAAAGATCTGGTTGAAGCTTTTGAAGGTGCCAGCAAGTACATGAGTAAGCTTGAACTAAATGATACAATGTACTTGAATTTCTAAGGGTCACACCCAGAGCCCCTTACCATTGCCTTCTAAAGAAGGCAAGCTGTTTTGGAATGATATACAAAGCTAGAAAATAAAGAGTGTGAAAGGAAAGTCACCAGGGTGTGCCATGAGACTACAATGGCATTTACGCCCTTCAGTATCTGCCAAAAAAAAATGTTGGAAAGAAGGAAAATATGGAGACAACAAACTTTGCTGAGATGGAAAGTTATTTACAATAGTCAAAATTAACACTGTACAAAAAGCATTGCAGGGGAACATGCAACTTAATGACTGATCGCATGACAGAATGTCAGTAGAGATGCAATGCCAACACAAGAAAACAGAAGGCATACACAAAAAGATATTCTTAACTATACAGCTTTGGACTATTATCCTTACCCCTTGCAAAGAGACTCATTCACAGTTCACTGTTCTGTAGCAGGCAAACAAAGCAATAACACTATCATGAAGGAAAAGCATTAAAAAAAGTAAATTCATTATGCTACCATTATTTTTATTAGTTCATACCCTGAATACTTACGTGTCTCCAGTTGTCTTAGTTCGTAAACTGACCTTACACCAAAACACTTCAAATAGTAAAGACAAAAAAAAAAAAAGCAGAAAGAGGTAGAGTTATAAAGGGTATGGAATAATGCAAGGAAAGACAAACAAGACTAGGATTTTTGGCTTGCAAAATAAGCTGTTCAAGAAAGATGCAATAAAGATCTGTAAAATAATAAATGTTGTTGAGAAGGTAAGTAGGGAACCATGTTTCCTGACAAAAGAACTAGGAATACAAAAAACAATTAACATTTTGAAAGCCTGAAACAAACGGGACATTTTTTTAATACAATGCACAACTAAATCCTGGCAGTTAATGGAAGATGAATTTATTAAACCCAAGACCTGTAACACATGATTCTCTGGATGCAATACCTGGCTCATAAATACGTTAAATCCGTGAATGGTAGAAGATCACGGGTTAAGTCAAAAGGATTATCACTGTATGTTTTTCTTCTCCTTAATACAAGCTCCTTTTTTTCCACTGAGAGGTTAGACAGATCTTTGGTTTGACCCAGACATTGTGGATCACTAAAAATGGCCAACAGCTTATACTGGGAACCACTCCACCCCTTTGCTCTTGCCTTGAACTTGGTGCTAGAGTTCATGCCGAACTGCTCACAGTGCTGCTGTTATCCACAAAAGCTACCTTGGAGCTTGTCGAAGTATATTGTAAAGGTCTTGCAGCTATGCCTTTGATTGCAATATAGAACTGCTATGGGGAAAAAGTGGATATGGGTTACGGGATTTCATCTCCTTTGCAGAATACTTCCCATGTGCCATTCCCCCAAACCAGCACCTTCTAATAAGAGCTACTAAAGAGAGAAGTGCCTCTCACATAAACATAAAGTATACCAAAGATTTAATTAAACAAAATACCAACAGGGGGTGGTGGGGGTGATGGGTAGTGCTCAGGAGAGGGACAGAGACTATGAACAGCACACCAAAATCAACAACTGTGAATATATTTTTAAGAAAGTAGTTCAACTCTGTATTAAAACAACAGAAAATGACATTCATTGGAAAAAAATGGCAGTTTCCCCTCCTTTCCCCAAAAATCTTAAAAGACCAAATGATATATGCATCTAAATGATGTTAAGGCTGGAGCATATCAAGGATTTTTTCATATATACTGGTAATTATTAATTCAGTTGTTTAATTACTGATGCAGTTTTCTTCAGAAGTATGAATAATTGTTAAAGTTTTCAAAAAAAATGATGCAATTTGTCTCCTTTTTGCCATGTATGTGGATGACTGCTACACCCAGAGAGGTTCCAAGATGACAGCAAAAATATTTCAAGGATGAATATTTATACCTTTACCTATTTGTAGGAAGTAGGGACTCATAGCAATTCTCATTATACTTTTTTCTTCCCACAAATGCTTTTGCACACCTTACTATGTACTAGCAAAATAAAAGACCTAACTGCTTCGGTTTTCATCTGAATACTACAGTCCATTTTGAAATACAAAACAAAAGTTGCAAACACATTCAAACAAGAGTAAACAAGGAAAGTGGTGCAGTGAATTAAGGTGTCACGGTCCCTTATATTAGCACTACTCAAATGCATGGCTTTGCAGTACCTCATCTGGGCTGCCAAGCTGTGAATGCATCCATGCAGGATGGAGACACAGGAAGAAGTACCGGAATGAGCAACAGATGAAAACCAAAAGTTAAATGCTCACTTCCAAGGCTTTGTTTCTTGATAAAGTTGCTGAGAGGTCAGCCAAAAGAAATGAAAGAAAAGAAACAAGCAGCAAGCCAGAGGAGGTTTGTATTTGGTATAGGGGAAACGTGTCAATACAAGGGTTTGGAGGTGACTGTGCAGAAGCAGAAGTGTAAGTGAAATAGCTTATTTTGATGTGACAGCATTTTTGGTAGACTTAAGGCAATAAGGTAAGTGTTGCTAGGAGGTTTCTAATAAGCAATTTAAGAAGTCTCAAGCGCCTGAACAAAAGCTGTGTAATGAAGGGCATCAAGGGGATTCAAAGATGTTAAACAGGAAGGAAAACAAGCATACTATATATTGGAAGAAGTAATGAGAAGGGAGAACTAGAAGAAGAGGGAGCATTTGAACACAGCAGTTTTAGCTTTCTAGGTTACATCTTTTGCTACCCATAGCAGCAAACAGACCAGAGCAGAACAGAGTAACTGAAAAATTAAGGAAAAAGGGAAAAAAAGAGTGAGTATAGTTAGAAGAAAAGAGGGATTATAGTAATTTTTTTTTCATTTTGAAGCTTTGGGTACTGAGGCAGCCAGAAATTACTTTTATCAAGGCTTGATCTTGTTACTAAAAGTTGCCAGAACTACGAAGCTGACAAAAGTTAAGGATATGAACGTTGGGGTAGCAGCTGTAAACATCTTTATGATGAGGTAAAATGGCATAATAATTAAACACTATCAGGAGTTTCTAGAGGGCAGAGAGATAAATAATTCCATGCTAGAGGACAGAAATAGCCAGAGTACTAAATATTGTGATTAATGAGGCAAATATTTTTAACAGGTTTGAGTTAGTAATTGAAACCTTGCAAAAGAATGTACCCAAGAAACAAATTTATTTGAAGTCATCCTTGTTTCATCTTTTAATTTTATGCAAGGACTGGAAATTATACAGTTGTGCAATGTCGAATAAACATTTTTTTATATATTAACTAAGAGATAAAAAATGAAGAGGTTTTTCTGTCTGAAGTTTGTGAAGCAGCTGTTTACAGTGCATTCTGAGGTTGAGAGAGGTTTCCTGGGATAAATCAAAGCTGGTCACATGCTATGTGGTATTTCCACTGTGTCCTTGATTATCTAAGAGCACAGCAAGTAATCAAGAGTATCTTTCCAGCTCAGCAGAAGCTATTTCCACTGACTTTCTCTGAAAAAGAGGCTTCACTTCAGCTGAAGCATTTGCAGTAGCTGGAAAAATTGAAGGCTTTCTATTTTCCCCTAGGGCCTATGCGGCTTGTGTCCATCAGTAATCTAGCACATTATTAGCTACAGAAGTATTTACCGGTTATGGGAACCTACTTTTCTTCTTCCCCTCCATTTACAAAACACAGGATTTTATATCACTGTTCACAGATTGAATATACACTACCTTCACTGTTAAAATCCTTTTGTAAACACACGCTACTGTCAAGTGCCTGTGGGTGCAGCTACAAGCACTGGAGGTGGCTGGCAGCTCTGCAGGAAGTTGGGAGGCACCAAAGGAAAAGCAGCTCTTTTGTGGTGGAGTGGTGTTCTGCTTCTGGTGTTTTCCCTGTCCAGGCAATGCTTCCTCAGCTCAGACAGGGTGAGGCACCTCCTTGCCACCACCACATGCTGGTTTCACAAAGGGGCTTCTTCCTTCAGTCCTGAATTTCTCCTGCAGGATCAGACTAGCATAATTTGAAGACCTCCTCCTTCCAGTCATCCCTGTTTTGATACCTGTGCATGTATCTCCTCTGGTATCTTCTCTGTTGGAAGTGAAAAAGGCACCTACCTAATGACGGATTACAAACATCCAGAATTAACTGGATGTTAACCATTGTTAAGCATCCAACATTCAGCCTGGAAATGCCTAACCACTAGAAACACAGAGCAGTTGCAAAACATTCCCAGAAACCTGTTCCTACACTTTAATCTTCCAACATTCAGGAGTTACAACTCTCCAGTCATACTGAATTTCTTCTCCTAATTTTCCCCAGGTATGGAGAAAGGCAGATATTAGAAAATCTCAGTTTATACACACCATCAGAAATACAGTTATTTGAAGTTTTGTGTAGATCAATTTTTCATTTCAGGAAGAAGCATTACCTGGGATAGTACCTCCCCATACTTAATAAACAAAGAAAAAAAAAGAAACAAATTAAATTTTCCCATAAAAGCTACTTAATATAAAGAGTGCCATCTGCTGGCAGGATTGAAGTGAGGCATTGTTCATAGGCATCGAGGTTCAATAAAGTTTTGCTAGGCCCTGTTAAGGGCACGTTTCAACTCTAAGCTATTTCACACTTTCAGTTTTATTTATTCATGGTACTGCCCTTTACAGAATAAAAGTGCAGTCAAGCACAGTGGTGTAGACAGCTCTTGTTGTGTGAACATGGGGGGGAAAAGCATCGTTTATTAATTCACATTTTTATATTCACAGGGTGTCTTTGTTGATTTGGGATTTCTTTGTCTATTTTTCTTTTTTCATCATTAATAGATTTTTTAAACAAATATTTTTGAGAACCTGAAAATTAAAAATGTAAGAGATTTTCTAAAATACTGTGGGTGAGACTTTTAAAAGTACCTACTTTCCACTTTGCCTCATGCCAAATGTATTTATATAATTGTCAAACAGCTTCAAAAATCCAACTTGCAGGTCTCAGGTTTAGAAGCACATTATTGATAAAATACTGTTGTATATCTTCTTGGTCATGTGAATCTTCCACAGAGGTGTGTGGATCGAGCCTTCCTGACTCATAAAACGCTACTTAAATACCCTTTAAAAGTACTGCCTCCTCCACAACCAGGATAAAAAGAATGCTGCCTGCAGTTGTCCCAGGTCCTGGCCTGTGCCAACAACGAGCTGAACAGTGAGAATAAGTAGAGGGGATGAGGATGGAGGAAAGAGGGAGACAGTGTGTTACCTTACAAAAAACTCTTTTGTCTAAAACTGAAGTTAAAGTAACATTGCCCTTTGCAAGCTCAATTACTACTTACTGAAGAAGTCTGCTTTGCATTTGGGTGTTACCACTATTAGCAACATTTGCACTTCATGTTGCATTGGTGAAGTAAAAAAAAAAACTTAGAAAGTCCACATTCACTGCAAGGATAATAAAGATTTTTATTGTTCTAAAACACTGGAGTTCAATTTCTGATTTCCAGTAGGTTCACAGCAAAAGATACTTTATAGTCTTCCCTAAAAAATTATCATTCAGATTGCAACTAACTCACACTCCCTCCTCTTACTTTTTTTGAGGTCATTAGATGACAAAGTGTACCAGACCAATTCCTGAATAGTTAAGCTCCTTCCATATCTCTTTTCTAGTGATAACAGCTATTCCATTTTGCTTTTCTTATAATGTTGTTTCACATCTGATTCCTTGTTTGACTTCCTCCACTTTGTTGTGCAGTTCCTATGAATTATTGAGGGAGTTTCCAGTTAAATCTCACTATCCAAATTAAGCATTCCTATTTTTAACTACCCACTTCGCTATTATCCTCAAAGCATTTACTTCCTCTCTACTGTCCATTCTCTTATTAGTCAGGTTAGCAAAAATCCAAGAGAGCTACTTCTCCAGGTACTTAACTAGGCAAATATCTCAAACTCTGGATTGGTGCTTTCACCACTCCTGATGATATTATCTTCCCAAATATTTGCTCTCTAGGTCTAGGAAATAGAAGAATTCCAGCAAAGACCTTTGAACATCTTCCGCCATCTAGCACAACTCTCTTTGAGTGGCTCAAGCAAGTTTCTTATTCTTACAGTCAAATGGTAGAATGACAGCAAAAGGATTCTTCCCCAGCCTATTTAGAATGACTTTCACACTCTGCCAGACCCTCACAGCATTATGCTTGGACAGACTTCACACAAGACTGTTTTCCATTTCCATCCACTTTGATGGCCAGTCTGTTAATATTTCTTATGAAAAAAAGTGATCTTTCAGAGCAGCCTTAGGTTCCTACGAAACTTTGGCCTTCTTGCTTCCTTTCTGCTTTCCACTTATCTTTGCCTTCTCTTTTTCTTCAGCCACTAGCCCCTGCTGTTACCATTTACTCAGTCTCTTCTTTCATGCTGCTCAATATTCTGTCTCTAGAGGTTGCACCTCATCACTCCTTCCACAGAACAAACTCCTTCCACAGTGAAAACTTCTTCCACAGATTTCCTTCACATTCTGGTATTTTCCTCTGCCCTGTCATCATTTTAATATATTTCTAGAGGTCTCCTTTTCATCTGGGGATGTGCCAATCAACCCATCTGCAACTACAGTTATGTTCATGCTCTTTCCTTTCATCTTATCTGTCATACTCAAATGCATTTCTATATTCTACCCTCATTTCTAGCAGCATTTATGTCTCTCACACCTCTTTATTTTCCTCAACATTATGAGATGACCCTTCATGCATATGTAAATTCTGTCAGAAACTCACTGAAGGATAACATACACCTTACAGCTTCTGCATCCAGTCATCTTCATAGTTTCTGCCATATTTTGGTCTTCTCCACTGGTGCCCAAGATGCTAGTTTTTTCTCCCTTACCCTAGGTTTAAAATCAAACAAACCATCTGCATACCAGGGTCCTCTCCAAAATTCTTCTTTTACTAGACTCATACCAGCCTCTAGTTGCTTTGATTCCGACACCTTCTTACCTACATTAGCCCACCACTTCATTTAGGGTTAACTATGATCAAAGGCCATGATCAAAGACTTCCTCTTTGTGCTGTTTAAACTAAGCCATATGGCTTTGCAACACAGCTTATCTAGTCTTGTTTGAACTGGTTGTGCACTTCTATGCACAGCAATCACTTCCAATCATAGTAAGAAATCCATGTGGATTTTCTGATGCACTTATGCCGAAGCTCACATTACAGTTATCCCAGGCAGAGAAGCTGCCTGGTGCTTTGGAAGCCTGAACCAGAATTTCACAATGCCCCCCTCATTCAGCAGTAAATACCTGTCAGGAGGTGGGCATGCTTTGCATTTGGGGTGTTAATTTGGTGGAGTTTTCTTCTTTTTCAAAAGTAAAACATCAAAATAGAGTTCAAGCACAACCAAAAGTACACGGTGATGCTGCTGATAATTTGAGAAAAAAATAGCGAGAGTCCAAAACCTTCATAATGCGGCTGCTGACATTGATAAATACAGGGAAGGGCTTAATATAATGGACCTCTCAGTCCAGTCAGGGTGAACTACCAATTGTAGATCTCCTCTGACATGGCTGATAATTTTCACTAAATATAGTTCATTAGTGTCTAGACATCACTGATTCACCCGTCACATCTTCTTCTTCTCAAAATAAAAATGTGAACCAAAATCTAAATTTCAACTTAGTTCTCCAGAGGTAGAAGGTGAAAAGAGTGTATTTTGCTTCATTAAAAAGGCCTACAAGCATTTCGATTGCAATATAAAAACCCTTTCTGGAAAAAAACAACCAGTATCATGATGTTACCCAACACTACAATAGATTATAATAATTTATAGGAAGGCTATATCCCAAAAAAAAAAACCAAGAGTGAGAAATAGAACTGGAAAGACATCCCTTGATGAACTTCAAGTGTTTTTTATATGTGAAATTTAAGACTCTTAAATCACTGGATCAGAAATATTTGTCAAGCTGACTGCAGGCCCCATAGTCTTAGTTCTTAGTTCTTTAGTCTTTTTTTGATCTGGAGACCGAAGTGCTGTATGCTATACTTCCCTTCTCCCAGAACTTCAGTTAACAATAATGTACATATTTTCTTGATAATCTTTACAATTTCTATCATGAAAATATAATATTCAGAAAATACTAATGCATCAATTCAGCTTCCAGAACTCTAACGGCATGAACACTAATATATTGTACTGATACAGCTAAAACTTGGACTAAAGAATCAAAATAATATGTTTATAAACGCCATATATTAGACTGCCTGGTTTGTTACAAGGTAATAAACAGAAAAGCTTGCATCTAGTCACTCGTGGTTGTTAAATAAGATTCTTTGTGACTTGCAAAAAAACTAGAACACAATGAAGAATTATCAGTGCATTCTCCACGGAAGTCATCTACATGTGTTTATTTAATAAACAGAAGATGGCTTTATTATACACATTTGATTTCCATATGCAATCGTCTCCTTATCTGTCACTTGTATCTAAGCAGGGTGCTTTATACAAATCTGAAAATGAAAAATTCAGAGCAGGGCACAGGAAACTCATTTAATGTCGAGTGCAGTCAAAATCAAGATTTCTTTATTTGTAGTAACAACGCTGTTAAATCAGAAAATTACTCTCCTTTTCTGCATGTCCTTCTTCCTTTACAATTCAGTTGTTTGATCATAAATTGTCGAGTGCAATGACTTGTCTCCTCCACTTTCCACACTGGTCGAGACAGATTAAAAACTCCGGCATACCACCAACCAGTCTCAGCATACCATTAGCATATATATGAGATTTGAGACATTTTCTAATATT